ATTATAATATAAAATTTTTTTTAAAATATTTTAATATTTAAAAAATTAGATCAGATATAATTGATTTTAATTTTAGCGTCCAAATTTGAACGCTAAACCTGACGGTTTAAGGGATAATTGCGATATTGGATCATGCGATAATAAATATAATAAAATTTGTTCTGTCATAAACAAATTATTGGCTGAAATGTGCCACACAGCAGCACATGTCAGCCAACCATTTGCTCTGACAAAACAAATTTCATGAAATTAATCATTGCATGACCAATATCTTATAATTATTACTAATACGCTTCGTTATTGATTTAGAGTTTTAATTATGACATAAGTATATTTTTTATAAGCGATACTAGAGCTATTATGCTAATGCCAACAAGGAAATATTTGAGATACAAATTTAAATCTCATTGTACTAGACTTAAAAACTTATGTAATTAAAGCTGATTGTTCTAATTTTTCAATAATATTTAAATAATTGAAACTGATTGTGATTAGTGTAAAAGTTTGTATAATAAAATTTATACTTATAATTTTTCTTTGCAATACTTATAAATAAGTGTTTTTGAATTGTATTTTTTTTAATTTTTTTATATTGAATTATATCAAATCTTAAAATTATCAACATTTTGTTTTTAATAACTTAAACTTAAATAAAATAGCATTTAATTTTCAACATAATCAACTTTTTATTGAAGCTGCTGATTCTAGTAGTAATGAAAGTAACAACAATATAGATTTGGATTCAGATAACAAATCAAGTGATGATGAATTAGAACTTGTTTAAATTTGTTCTTTTTATCCAAAAACTTTAAAATCTGAAGCTTCTCATTATAATCATTCTAAATCAGATGATTGGGTGAGAAATATATTATTTAATTATGATGAAATTAGATTTAGAAGAACTTTAAGAATGAATAAGTCTACATTTTTTGCACTAGTAAATCAAATTAAAAATCATTCTGTTTTTCATTCTAATTCAAATAATCTTCAAACAGAAGTTAAAATTCAACTTGCTGTAACATTACATCGTTTAGGATCCCCATCAACTATCTGGACTAATTCTATTTTATTTGGTATTGCTGAAGGTACTGTACATTTATTTATGGATAGAGTAATTACTGCTATAAGATCTTTAAAATCACAATATATTCAATGGCCATCTGGAGATTATAAAAAAGAAATATATAATGAATTTGAACAAATGCAAGGACTTCTTTTAGTTATTGGTGCAATTGATGGTTCTCATATACCAGTATTCCAAGCTCCTGATAGAGTTAACAAAGATGTATATTTTTCTAGAAAGCATAAATATGGAATTCATTTACAAGGAATAGTAGATCATAGAGGTCATTTTAGTCATTATGATATTGGATGGCCTGCATCTGTACATGATGCAAAAGTATTTCAAAATTCAAGTATTTATAATCAACAAAATATTTTTTTTGAAGGAGAAGAATATCTTTTAGGTGATTCAGCATATCCTTTACTTCCATTTATTATGACACCATTTAAAGTTCCAAGTGGATTACAACAACAACAACAAATAAATTATAATATTAAACATAGTAAAACTAGAGTTGTAGTTGAACAAGCTTTTGGACGTTTAATAGCAATATTCTTATTTTTAAAAGAAATAAGAATTAGAAATCCATCAAAAGGAGTGGAACTTATCGATATTGCATTAATTTTACATAATTTTATAGAAAAACATGGAGATACATGGGGTCAATCAGATTATGATGATAATCAAATTGAAATACAACCAGAAGAAGATTTAGAATTAATTGAACAAAGTTTAGAATTAAATGATAGAATTTTAAACCAAAAAGAATATGCAAAAATCAAACGACAGAATTTATTAGAACTTTTAAATTTTTAAATTTATTAATATTCAATATATCTATATTATTTTTTTATATTATTTATTACAAAACGCATCTATAGTAGTTTTGCATTTACTATATATTTTTACATTTTCTAAAGTTTATAAGTAGATAAACTTTTTAGCACAAATTTTTCATGTTATGGTTAGTATTTGATGCTAGAATTAAGGTTTAGAAAGAGGTTTTGAAATGTAAAATATTTTATTTAAAGTTTCGCATAATAATTAATTAGTTATTTTTTAAGATAATTTAATATAGTTGATAAAATTTTAGATGCATTTTAGTAAGTGTTTTTTATTACAGTCATAATAATAGTATTACGTATCGTTATATTAGAAATGTTGATTTGCTATTTGCATATACGTATTGTGCCTCAAATCTGAATTTGTTCCAATTGTCAATTGGAATAGCCCAGATATTAATTTACTAAAATTTAGCTAAATGCACTGCTTAAATTAATTTATTCAGGCCAATAATTTTGATCAATTGTTATTTAGAACAAATTAACATCTAAAGCACAATATATATATTCATTATAACACTAATTATATGAATATATTACTTATTTAATTGGATATTAATATATATATATTGAATTGGCATAGTATATATATTATAAGCATACACATTATCAAGCTACGTACTTGGTCTTATTTAAAATCTTTATGCTGCCAAGCAATCGTAGAGTCTATCAAGCTACGTACTTGGTTTTATTTATATATCTATTTAAAATCTTTACGCTGCCAAGCAATTGTAGAGTCTTAAATATATCACCTAAAATAGCTACTAACTCTGAGCAGATTTTAATTAAGAGAATCTTTATACATGTTTCAGATCGTAACAAGTTCTTGCACTATTATATAACATAGCTATAAAGCCTTTAATTTTGTTAGTTGGGTGTTACTATCTTTAGACCATAATTGATAATTCTAATTCACAAGATTCTTGTACTTTTATATAGCCGCAAAGCACTATAGTGCTCAAAATACCAAAAATTAAGTTAATTTAACTATTTATGTTTTATTAATTATGCTAAAAAAAGATAAAATTTAGTAATTTAATTAAAGTTTGTTAATAGCTATAATATACATAATTAGTTATAAAATTACCACTAGATTTAATAACTAATTCAATTAGTATATATATATACATCAAATTTTTGTAGATTTTGAATCAATTATATTGCAACAGTATACTAAACTAACCTAGTGTTTAGAGAATCCGATTATTTTATGAGAATGAAATTGGAGTTAAAAGAATATATAAGATATTAATTATTGTCAAAAATTTGCTAAAATTAATTATAGTGCAAACCAACTACTATGTATTGCATTAGTAAGCAAGTTCTGTAATAGAATTTTAACAATAACTTAGAATAGCGATTAAGTTTGCAATAGAGTTTTTACAATAATAATTTCAATGCAAACTAATTTGACCTTAACCACATACCGTAATTATTGAAATCGCAAGTATTCTGTAGTAGGAAGTTTTATGGTAATAACATACTATATGTACTGGAATAGCAAGTGACAATTTATTCTATAACAACTAATCAAATGCTAATTTATGTTATATTGGTTAAATAAACTTTTGGCAAAATAACTATGAGGGTTGAATATAGCAACTAGAAGACTTAAGCAATTAATCTTATTTTTATTCATTTTAACTTAGTACATGTATGAAAATAATATCATTTATTAACTGAATTTAATAATTTATTCAATTTTTTATTAGCATTGATTTAATTTGCAGACATTATTTATAAAATAAATTATTTGCTATTGGCTTTCAACTAGGAATGTTAACAGTTCGATTTGGACCAATCTTGGTCTATTTTTAGCCCAGTTCTGTTTGGTCTTTTTTGGTTTGGTAACCGATCTAAACTTTTGATCTGAAAAACTGATCTGAATTATAGTTATGTTTGTAATTAGTCTTAAATTGATTAAAAATTTGATCTGGATTATAGTCTAATTTTTTTAGACTGAGACTGGACTAAATAGGATTTGGTTTTCTCAGGTCTTCATAAGAAGACATTCATATGATTGGTTAATTTTCGTAGATATACCCGTGATTTCCCATGATAATTAACCAATCAAATACAAATTTTTGATTAATACTACAGTACTAGAAAACGAAAGAAACTTCATATAAAGAAGCTTACAAATTAATAAATACACGTGAAAGAATTTATTATTTATATGCAGAGAATAGGTAGATACGCGTAAGTGGGCAAATATGATATTTATTGCCAATAAACCCAAATTTATTAAAGAATCTACCGTATAAGATATAAATTAAAAATAACTATTAATTTCGGTTGACAAACTCAAACACACTACAAGAACCGATCAAATTTAATATTAAAATCTTATCTTGTTAAAAAGCATGTATCTATTTAAATTAAACAGTTAGAAATATCGTATGTCGGAACGAAATTATTGTAAATTTAGAATCCACTTAGGTTGGAATGGAATTCAAAATGTAGTTCAAGTTGCTACGAAATTTAAAAGCAACTTAAGTCGATTCTATAATTGTTATTTATTTTTTTTTAATTTCACTTTTCATTCTTTGCAACTCTCTCTATCTGATGACCGAATATTAAGATTATCCACTTTTACCCCGTAATTCAAAGAATTACCTTCCAAAAGATTTAGTAATGAGTCAGCAACTAGGCAACATTAAACCTTACGTGATGACTTTTATTTTTGCATTAAGGTTTTACAAGATTCAACGATACAACAATCGGTGATGCGAAAAATCGTTATTTGGCAAAAAATACGTGATTAAAATAGTATTTTTCAATGCTCATAGGCATTCGAAAAGCATTTATTATGTAATCCTCTTCACAAGTAAGCAGTGTTGAAAATTCGTTGTGCATATATTGTTTTTGCACAAAAATTAACAACTAATATGCAGTATGCACAAAAATAAAATAACATTCCTGTATAAAAAAATCTTTTTACAAAGCATTTTTAAGTAATATTAAATGCAATTGCAAAAATGCATGAGACAAAATCGCCGCAAATGTAAAAATAAATATACCCCATAGGAATAGTTGCTATCCCACTAATAATTGATGCAAAAATTACGTGTCATGCTTTTAAATTAATTTGCAATACATTGTATTATGAATAAATTCTATCTTAAAGTAATTTAAATTCCAAAACAACATATTCGATGAAATAATTTGGGATACACATAATGTTGTTGTAAGTTGAATTGGAATTCTTAACAACTCGGGCACATTTTAGAATTCTATTACTATCTATGTTTATTCAGAATCAACCTAGGTGGATTCTAAATCTATAATAATTCCATTCCGGCATACAACAAAAATAAAAGTTTATTTAGATCTAACGTAATAAAAGTAGTTTTAGATGAAAACGTTTCTGGTTACCTTCACTCTACTGCATAATTTGATATGGTCCAATAAACAGTAGGCATATTTTGCCTTCTAGGTAAAATTCATGGGGATACTAATTATTACTGATTATTTTTGCATAGATTCTATCGAAGCGAAAAATGACTTTTGCGTTGATTTTTTGTTAGTGAAATGTTGTATTCTCAAAAAGTACTTTAAAGTGCATAAACAAGTTACCTGGACAATTGATTTACATTAGCCAATCAGATGAATGTTCTCCTATAAAGACTGGTCCTATAATGGACTATGGTCTATTGGTCCAAGATCGGACTGTTAACATTCCTAATATCACGCTTATATCTTCATTAGATGGTGGTATTACTAACCCACACTTAATAAAATTACAAATTCTTGATTATTGATCAAGAAATTAAAAGTTTAATGAATTCTTACAAAATCCAGAACAGAGTCAAATTGGATACTAATATATTTTATATACTATTTTTCAATAGTTATAGCAATTGACAAATATCATTAAAAGTAAATAGTTTATTTTTTATTATTATACAATTGTACAAATTACAATTAACAAAGAAATTATTTAGTACATTCAAAGCAATTTTATTAAGAATTTACATATGCATACACAAATATTTATAAAATTTATATATATGCATAAATTATCAACAAATTGATCGGCTATAAGTCAATTTTGTTTTGCTAACAATATCAATTAGATAGAACTTTTATATTAACCAGACCTAATATGTATATTAGTTAGGATAAAACTAAATGAACTATAGATTAATTTTTAAGGAAACTAAGTTCTATCATATATCGGTTAAGTAGAAGCAAACTAATTGCAATTTATATATTAATTTAGATTTTAAAAAGCATTTATTTATTTATGAAATATTTAAAAATACTTACATATAAATTTACATAATTATTTTTTACTATTCTTATTTTTTAATTCCATTTCTTTTAATTCTATTTCTTTTAATTCTATTTCTTTTAATTCCATTTCTTTTAATTTTAATTCTATTTCTTTCATCTTTAGCTCATGACTTGTCTTTACTTCTAACTCATATTTAAATTTTTCTAATTCGATTTTTCCATTTTCTTTAATCTTTTCTAATTCTTTTTTTTTTTGAGTTTAATCTGGGCATCAAATTTTTCTTTTTCAAACTTAAGCTTGTCACGCTCAATTTTAGCACGGTCCTCATTCCATTTTTTTCTACTTTCACTAATAGCCGCTATAGATTCTATATAAGCTAATTCATTATCATTTAATTTTGCCTTTTTTTTGTGTTGAACAAAACTCTCATCGTTATTAACATAATGCTAAATTTTATTAAAAAATATAAAATATTAGTAAGCTTAAAAAAATACTTATAAATTATAACTTTAATCTTATTAGAGATGATCTTAAAAAAAAAAAAAAAATACTATACCTTTCCAGTACTATCAATTAAAGATTCAGGTTGAACATTTTCACGGTTTCCAAAAATTTCATTCATTAAATAAAAGTAAGGCCATTTAGAAGTTCTTTTTCCTGTTTCTTCTTTTTTTTCTTCAGTATATTTTCTAACAAGGCTTTGTATTTTCCCATGAACTAGTGCACTTGTTTTACCACCTATATGCAAAGCAGCATTTACATAAAATCTCTCTTTATTTTTACGATAGTTAGAGAAATTCTCTGATATATATAAAAGCAACAATTTAATAGCCGATTCAGTCTATAATTTATTATCAGAATTAGTAACATTTTCGATCAATGGTCGTTTATTTTTTTTTTTAGTACTTTGAGATGATGATGAAATAATTAAATCATCACTTGACAGAATGTTTTTCGAAGCAAATGATGAAATAACAGAATTATTTGTCTGTTCAACAAATGAATAATCAGGAGAATAAACTTGTTCGGATGAAGTTGAGAGATCATCATACTGTGTAAATTTTTTTTGTGTATTATTAGGGTATACGGTAAAAGTAGGTTTAGTTTGTGCAATTTTTAATTGATCCATAGCTTTGAGAGTCAGAATAAATTTGTAAAATTTACAACGAAGAAATATTAAATATAATTCAGATAAAAATATATAACATCCCTTGTGGTCTTTGCACATGGAGCTTGCATACGCAAGTTAATTATTATGATATTTTCTGATCATTATTGTCTAATTACGAAAAAACAAGGAGTTTAGAATATAATAATAATTATTACTAAACTAACTAAGCATATATGTACATGCATAAATATACCTATTATTGTACAAGTTAGGTAATTAATTATTTTTCTTGATCGAAGTAAGTTTCTTCTGCTTTTACTTATTATTAATATATCTAATAAATTTTTGCGAACTAGTTAATTCCACTTTATATAATAGTATATAATGCTATGTATACTCTCTATATTTATCTAATAATATACGTACTATCTAACCAATCCATTATCAATGTTTTTCTACTCAATTATATTTTCGTATTTAATATGTCTAACTATATATACAGTTAATTATTCAAAACTTTCAGAGTTATATATAGTAATATTCTATAAACTCTATCAAATCCTATCTTTGAACTTCTACTAATTGAAACTAAAAGTTCTAAATTTGCAATACATATACTTTCATAATAATACCACTATGTAAGTCTTGATGGATAATATTTTGTGAATGAATTGCCTAACATTATACTTTAGATATGCTATATTAATTACAATTTGCACAGCAAGAGTAAAACTATAATTGGTTCAAAAGCAACATACTATTTATTTGACATACCTTGAACTAAAATAACTATGGAGCAGTTATAAAGCAGCACCATATACGTTGGTAAAGGAAACTGAAAGTTTTTTAGCAATCTCATTAATTGAAAGGCGTAAAGCTACAGAGGTAAATTATAATTCTCTGTATAATAAATAGATTGTAAGATATGAAAACATTTGAATTCAAATAAAAAAGTACAATTTCATACCTTTTAAACTATATATATATATTTTTACTGTTTGCTAATAACCAACTTTTCAAGTGTTATATCAAGAGACGATGACTTCTGTGATGGTATTTATTTTTTGAATTCAATAAATATTACCTGAATATCATCGTCCCTGATTTTTTTTTTTTTACGTTTAGCGGTTGAATTACTATCTCAAATGTATTTAACGGTAAAAAAATTGTGATAAAAAACAAATCACATAGTACAAGATGTATTGTTCTATTTTTAGAGATCTACATATACCCGTGACTGGGTCTAACCATAATAAGAAACACACTGATATCGACAATATCAGCTTTGAATATAGCTATAGAATAAGTACAGAAGTAACCAGATAACTAATCTAAATATATACTAATCAGTACATTTGTGTCATGAACACTTTATTTTATAATGCTTTTGGATTTTTTTCCTGCTACTTACGTACATCGTTGCGTTTGTTAATGCTATAAAGTGAGAGTATAATTATTTACAAATATCATTTTCACAAGTTTATTAATTTAAAAATAATTATATTAGTTGTGAGTATTAAGTCACTTTTCATAAGTTTTAATATGATACATTTACGTACATAAGAAAAAGCTCTTCATTTTTTTAATACTTACTGAATTAACTAGCATTATAACTAATGCTAATTAACTTTGATGGTATTATTTATGTACCTTTGCAATCCATCTTTCAGGGTTTTGTGAATAACTGCGTGTGGGGTGTTTCACACCAAATGATTTACTATCATAGTGCAACACAATATCATTAGAGCACTAAGATTTTTGAATTTTTGTCGATTATTTTTTTTTTCATATAAATATATTATAAATGTAAAAACGTTATAACTCTTTTTTTACTTAAGCAAATCTACTACCACAACTTATGAGTTATGTATAAAATTAACGTATTTTAAAAAATATTTGTCAAAATTTCGATTTACTTATAAAGTTTATCGATTTTCAAAGTGAAAATTGGTAAAATTTATAAGTAAATCGAAAATTTGACAACATAGTTTTAAAGCTACGTTAATTTTATACATAGCTCATAAGTTGCGGTAGTAGATTTGCTGGATCTTATTTAGTATAGGTGGGCATATATAGCATAACAGATCAATTATTGGGGTGTGGGTAATCTTTAGTATAACTGAGCAAACTCCAAAAATTTTAACTTGGGTGGCGTAACTGATTCGATTTGTGATAACTAGCCACCCGGAATTAAAATTGTCGGTCTTGCCCACCTTTACTAAAGATTATGACCTGGGAAATGTGTAATAGTAGGCAAATTATAAACAAAATTAAAAATACCTATCTATATTAAAGAGTATCAATTTTTTTCTTTTCTGGAATCTTTAATAAAGGTGGGCAATTTTGTTTACTTTATAAAGCACACACCTTTATTAAAAATCATGAAAATTATTTTTTTTAATAGTCGTCCCACCTTTACTAAAGATTACCTTTTTTTTTTTTATAATCTTTAGTAAAGCTGGCAATTTTGATTAGCTAATAAGTTACCCACTCTTACAAAGGACCATGAAAATTTTTTTAAATTCGGTAATCGCCCTACCTTTACTAAAGATTATGATGGAAGAGGAGAGAAAAAAAATGGTTGATCATTAGTAAGAGTGGGTTGAATCAATGAATATCAGGTGCATACTGGGAGACAAGTTTCCTGTTATGTACCCGATAGTCTGCCATAGATTCACCAAATATCTGCTGAATATCAGCAGCATATTGGCAGAATATTAGTAAGATAGCAGGAGACGATAATTGGTTGGTCAATCGTCCCGCAGCAATCAGGTTACCGACCAACAGAAATCCAGTCAAGGAGGTACGAAAGAGGCGTGTTAGATTTGGACGAGTGGTTAATAAACGAATGTAGTTTATAATATATTTATGACTTAGGTATTTTATTATCATGTGAATCGGGTGTTATTATTCCCCAAAGGCCAAAAGGCCTTTATTTATAATCGTTAATTCTAGTATTTACATTCCCAGGAATCTTCCATATCCTAAAAATTACCAATAGACCCAATAATCGGCCTTATAGCCAGGATTACTAAGATTCGCCATTTTACCAAAATCATTATAATCCTCCAGATCTGGCATATCGGCTGATCGGGATATCGGGCCGGGATACTTTGCAGTATACCACACTGATTTCATTGGGTCTTAAATATAAAAGATTCATATACTAGAAATCAAACCCTAGAATGAGTAAGATTATAAAAAAAAAGTAAAGATAGTGCGATTACCAATTTTTATGATTTTTAGTAAGAGTGGCACCCTATAGACTGAACCAAAATTACCCACCTATACTAAAGATTCCGGAAAAAACATTTTTAATCTTAATTATAAGTTGCCTACCTTTACTAAAGTTCGCATTTTCTGGAGTTGTAAAGGTGAGGCAATTACCAATCCAATTTTTATAATCTTTAGTAAAGGTGGGCACCTTATAAACTAAACCAAAATTATCTACCTTTATTAAAGATTCTAAGAGTGTTTTTGGAGATTCTGGTTCAACTTTCTGAAATCCATTTTTGCAAAATACCATTTCATCGAACCCTTTATACTGACAGTCCATTTCACCGAAATGACATTATTCTAACATTTCACTTTTCTGATAAACCATTTAATCGAAAGTCAATTTCCCAATATGTAATTTAACCGTTAATCTCTACATCCCGAATCTATTTGCATGATAACCTATTTCATCGAATAACCATTTTTCCAATTGTACATTTTTTAGACATGCCATTTCTTCGAAATCTATATTACTAAAGCCTTTTTTACTGAGACATCAGAAAATGTCTATCGGCAAAATAGGCTACTGGCTAACTTCGAGAAATCCATTTTTTTGAAATACTATTTCGTCGAAGCCATAATACTGACGCTTCATTTTATTGACAAAACTTAAGTTTGATATCTTATTTTCCTGAGTATGCAACTAATTACATTTACTTAATATTAGAGATGGTTTTATGTGTGCGCATAATTCCTCAATTGTGCGCATTAATGTGTATTTCATGCGCTTGTTTCGGAATCATGTGTATCCCATCTAAATTTTATACAGAAAACTAGGACTTTGAGTTGCTTAAAGGGAGTAGAGGTAAGTGTACTATATCTGATATTGTATTATGCAGTACAAGGACCTCATGTTGTGATTAGGTTTCATGGCTGCGATAGCAATGCAAGGACCTCATGTTGTGATTAGGTTTCATGGCTGCGATAGCAATGCAAAGACCTCATGTTGTGATTAGGCTCTATGTCTGCCACAGGCAATGCAAGGACCTCATGTTGTGATTAGGCTCTATGTCCGCCACAGGCAATGCAGCTCCTCATAAAAAAAAATTTTGTTTGGATTTTTATTACAAAAAATGCTTATTTGTTGAAATAATAATCTGAACAAAGTCTGAATATAATTTTAACTTTTTTATGGGGTCTACAACTATAATAGCAGTATAAGGATCTCACGTTGTGTGTTTAGGCTTCGTGGCTGCAGTAATAATGCAAGGACTTCATGTTGTGATTAGGCTCTATGGCTGCCACGGCAGTGAAGAACCTCATGTCCGGTGATTAAGCTCCGCAACTACAAAAAAATACAAGGACTTTATTATATGATTAGGCTCTGTGTAGGGATGGGTTCAGTCACAAACAGTCACAATTATTCATAGTCAATTTCTAAATACTGTGGTGATTTTTGTTTTTGAGCTTTTAATTAAAGTTGTATAGAATTAAATTATATCCATCACATCTTATAAATGGAAAGAACAATACCTTCTCTGGAAATCAGAATTCCAAAATTTGTCAACATATAACTGGTCAATGACTAGGTATAATGTTAACAAATTTTGAAATTCTGGATTCCAGAGAAAGTATCGTTCTTTCCATTTATAAAATGGGATGGACGTAATTTAATTCTGTACAACTTTAATTAAAAGCTAAAAAATAAAAAATCACTACAGTATTTAGAAAATTGACTATGAATAATTGACTATACCCATCCCTAGTACCGTGGCTGCTATGGCAATGTTGTGATTAGGCTCTATGGCAACCACAGGCAGTGCCAGAAAAATATCTTTCAGGAAAATATCCTTTCAGGTAAATATCTTTCATGAAAATATGTCATAAAATATTTGCAATAAAAAGGTATTCAGAAAAAATTCTTGTCGGGAAAATAGGAATTCGGGAAAAGAACTTTGTCGAAGAAAAAGACTGCAAGCAAACTTCTTGCAGATACTCAGGCTGTTAAAGAAATAATTTGTCTGAAAAAAAAAAAGCCGGTAAAAGTTTCTGTCAGTAAAAAAAAACTATTGAAAAAATATCCTATCAATAAAAAGGAGTGTCAGAATTATAGAGTCAAAAAAAATAGGTTTTTGGGAAATTGGGTTTTAATAAGTTAAGAAATTACCATTTTTGGAGATGTAATCTTTAGTAAGTGGGTGAACTCTAAAATTTAACTGAGTGGCTAGTTATCACAAATCAAATTAGTTATGCTACCCAAGTTAAAATTTTAGAGTTTGACTACCTTTATCAAAGAAAATATATCCACCTATCACAGGTTGAATTAATAAATAACAGGTGCATATTGGGAGACAAATCTTCTGGTATGTACCCATTATTCTACCACACATCCGCCAAATAACTGTAGCATATTGGTAGCATATTGGTTAGATATTGGGAGGTAGATTGATAACAGATGTGTAGTAGAATAATAGTATATACTAGGAGATTTGTCTCCCAATATATACCTGTTATTCATTGATTCAACCTGTGTATATTAAAGAACATTTTGATTTGCTTAAGTAAAAAAAGAGTTATAATGTTTTAATATTAATAATATATTTATATGAAAAAAAAAGTGATGCCAAAAATTTAAAAATCTTACATAGTATGCTAATTATATTGTACTGCATTGTGATAGTAAATCATTTGGTATGAAACACCTCAAACTGTATGCAATATCTTAGTGAAAATTAATAATTTTAATGTAATTCATCTTATATACAGTAAGGTAATTTAAATTAATTATTTTTAATTTTTTAATTTTGTTTATTTAAGTGCTGCTAAAAGAAAACTTATTAGTTCTAGTTTAATTTTCTGAAGTCACTAAAGTTAATATGTATTGGCAACCTATTTTACTAATAGAACAAAAATAGGTTTTCTATATTATATTCCAAAAATCAATTCTCCAATTCCAATTATTCAAATTCTCCATCTCCAATTCCAATCCTCTTTCTGTTTCCAATTTCAATTTTTTATCTTTGCTTTTGGCTCTAATTCTCTGTTTACAACTCTGTCTCTTTGGTTATTTCTTGTACAGTTTCAATTTTATTATAAATAGTAAGTTTTTTTATTTTATTTAGACTAGAGTTTGGAACCAGTTTTATTTTTCATATGTTAAAACCGATTAAAACCGGGTTTAACATATGAAAAATAAAACCGGTTCCAAACTCTAATTTAGATTTGTAATTATTATTTTAAATAAAAAATTTTAGGATTACTATAAAATAAATTTATAAATAATAATTAAAATATTAATATTTAATTTTGTATATTATTTTATAGCTATGAGTAATCAAAAAAATAGAACCTTTTATCTAGTAAAAAATACTGGAATTGAATTTTCCTTATCTGAAAATTCTTCAATTAATTCTGTATGTTTTTTATTATTAATATTTAATATTAAATATTTAGAATTAATTTTATATCAATATAGATTAATACTGATTCAAGAAGTAATTTATGGACACAGAACGATGCAAATAAGTGTTCAAAAAAAGATTTATTAGAATGGAAAGGAGAAAAAACTAATGATATAGATCTTTTAGATAATAAATTATTAGATACTAGTGTTTTTAATAATTTAATTACAGAAATTATTAAAAAACTATTATTAGATAAATTAGATCAGAGGTTTGATAGCAATAATATAAATATTCCATCTATTATTTTTCCAGATTCTTTAAACTACTTGGTTGATTTATCTAATTCTCCAATTTGTAAAACTTTTTTAAGTGAATTGCAAAATTTTATTAATAATTTTGTAAAAGATAATGAATTTAAAAATTTTATTCAAGTAAAAGATAATTCAATTGAATGGAAAAATTTAATAGATGGTATATTTAATATTTATAAAAATATAGCTGAAGAAAATTGGAATAATGAAAAACCTCCATTTAACTATAGTAATGGAAAAAATAAACAAAAAATGGTTAAATTAGGTAAAGCAAGAATATTTCAAGAAATGGCCAATTCTCTAGAACAGCCTACTAGAATATTCAATGAAGTTATTGAAATACCTGATAAAATTATTCGAGATAAATATAGAGATATATATAATTTAAATTCAACTGAATTTGAAAAGTTCAAAAAAGTAAAAGGTAAAATATATATTAATATTAAAAGTTTAAAATTTGAACAATTTTAAAATTTTAAAATTTGTACTAATAAGAATTTTAAAATTTTAAAATTTAAACTAATAAAATTTTATTAAATAGATCCATATCATATAGTTGATAAAAATAAATCAACAATCCTAAGATTATTTGAACTTAATCAGGACCAAAAATCTATTTTAAATTTATCGGAAATAGCAGTAATAAAATATTATATGGATCATTCTAAAAATGGATCATATAAAAACTATAAATTAAATAATTTTAAAAAAAATCAAGAACGATTTGGAGTATATGGAAATTATTCTAAAGGAGTTTATAATTCTAGAGATTATAATTCAGAAGACAATAAACATAATAAGTATATATATTAATTTTAATTACTTTTTAATATTAATACTAATTAATAGTTAAATATTTTATATTAGATGTATCGATCAGATGCTAGATAAAGTTAAACTATTTGAAGATAATATTTTATCTAATATTATTAAAAAATATTATCCAAACTGGTTTAATAAAAGAGAATCAGTTAAATATCCATTAAACGTTAGTATATATTAATATTTTTATATTTAATATTTTAAATAATATTTCTAATTATTATATATTTATTTAATAAGGTAAAAAAGCTTTTTAAAGTCTTTGCTATGATGGCTTTAAACTATAATGTTACTACAGATTATCATAATGATAAAAATGATGATGGTCTGTCAGTAGTAGTTCCAGTAGGAGATTGGGAAGGTGGTTGGCTAGTACTTCCAAGTATAAAAACAATAGTTAAATTAAGTAAAGGTAATATTTTATTTTTAAAAGCTGATCTTCTAATTCATGGAAATACTCCAGCTATAGGTACTAGATTAGCCATAGTTTTTTTTTCTCATAATCAAACCTTTCCAAATTAATTTTTTTTATTATTATATATAAATATTTTAATTATTATTATCTTTTAAACTTAAAATTAACTATTATTAGTTTAAGATTAAAATTAATTCTTATAATATACTAGAAACATAAGTAAAAAATGTTAAACCAGTATAATTACTCATTGTAGTAAGATTTATAAATAAATACAAATAGGCATTCTTATTGTAAACTAGTAAAATACTGATTTGAAAATATTTAACTATATTATTTATTACCTATTGTAGTCAGATAATGGTGGGAATCAGAATAAAATCAGCTACAATAAAACAGCCTATTTGAATTAGCTTATGATTTAAATTCTGATTGTTTTATATTAAAAAATATATTACAATCAGTAAAATTCTAATTAAGCAAGTTTTTATTTTATTAATTATCAATCTGATTATTACTGATAGTATACTAATTAAAAAATTAGAATAATTACCAATTGTATTTTTTTTTTTTTTTTTATTGCCAAATTGCCATAACAGGCAAACTTTATTAGAAGTAACATTAAATGTTATTATATTTTATATTGTTACATACTGCAGTACATTTCTAGATCTATGAGAGTACATCAAGCTACATGTGCACCTTTTGGGTACCTATTTAAGTAGTTCACCTGAAGGTTCTACAATAGATGTTGTACCTATAATCCAACTAGGGAGTTACCCATTTAAACCCTCTGTTATCCCCAGTTCTGCACTGCCCCATTTGGTTCAAACCATCTCATCTTGTGCTGCACAAAGGCCACCTAAATTAGCATTCTCCCACTGACTTTACCTTATTATAGAAAAACCCTTCGAATCTAATCAACTAGTATTTATCCAAGAAAGAGCGCAATAGATTCCTCCTAAATCCTTCTATGTCCCACACATTTTCAGATTTGGTTCAAAGATACTGCACTACAGCTTTACCTATATACTAGCAAGCCCGGTTACTCAAGCCATACATATCTCCTGCCTTTGTAAGGTTCACTTCTACCCCAGTACCCACATTTGAACTTTCTTTCTTTCCCAAATTCTTTACTGGTCTCTCCTTTGTTTCTAGCTGGCAACCCAGAAGGGTTGGTCTGCCCAGGCTTTAGATGCCTTATGGTCTCCCTTCTCTTAGTACATGCTTCCAAAGCACATGTCCTTTTTCTCTAATTAGCGATCTGGCGGTTTAGCTGGTGTGTCTCCCTACTTAAGGATCTGGTCATTCAGTTCTCCAGTTTCAGTTTCTAGTTCTGAATTCAGTCTTCCTGTAGTACTATTGAAAGTTTCCATTACTTCTTACTTGGGTCTTCTCAAACAGGTTTCGATCATTCCAGTTTTTTGGCATTTATATGCCGAAGCTTCTATAATGAGATGATGCAACTAAGATTACAGATTGTAGATCCAATCGATCGATGGATAATCGTTACTGAACACAGGCTTAATTTTCAAAATCGTTGTCTGTGGGATTTGAACTCTAGACCTGCTGCTTGGAGGGGTGATATCTAGACCACTTCACTAAGCTGCCACACCCTTGCCAATTGTATTAAATTATACAAATAAATAAATACAATTAAAAAATAACCTACAATTAGATTACAATTGATTGTACATAATTGTATACAATTTTATAGCACTCAACTATTATAATATATTTTTATATATAGAACAAGTTTACTTAGAGTATAAAGGAGCATAGTAAACTTTCATTGTGATTGGTTAGATTTAATTATCATCTCGTGATTTTATTGGCTGATTAACCAATCAAATTGGTAGAATAATGACAATGCATAGTATTAATATTGGTCTTTAAAGTTTTACTTAAATATTAAGATACATCATTATATACTGAATATAAGAAATGCTCTTAATGCCTTTATAAAAAAAACATTAATTTTATTATTGCAAAATCAATAAATTTTATCTATTATATCAATAAACACATCCTTTTCACTTTTTCGTTTGATATAGTGGATTATGCAAAAATTTGAGGGTCTGAATTTAAAAATATAAATCTTACAAGATCAACCTATACTTTTTTGCTAATATTAATAATCTATATCCCAATTTACTCTTAAAAAAAAAAGCCAATTCAAAAAATTTAAAAATTGTACATAATATACAAAAATAAAAAAAAAGCCAATTCAAAAAACCTAAAAATTACACATAATATACACAAATTTCAGCACCATCCATTTTAAAATCATTTGTGAAATTAAATACTAATAACTACTAATTATTAAGGCTATCTATTATAGCAATGTTATTAAAACTTCATACAATTATTCAGTATTGAACCCTAAGATCATTATGTGATGAGAAGTACAGTATATTAGTAAAGATCAAAATAAATTAATAAATAAATTATTAATAAAATAAGATAAAAGTTAGGTTAAAAGTAAAATAGTAAAAATAGAAAAGAATAAATATACCATTTACTTATTGTTTATAAGCTACAAATGTCTTGGCAAAACTAAAAAAAAAAGTTTAAATTGCATAGTTTAATAGATTACAAGCTAAATAGAAAGTTTAAAATACTCAAAAAGTAGCTTTCATCTAACTTCTGAATTACTTCACCAATTACCAAATTATTTTGACACCTTGTAATGAAGATGGTATAGTTTTTAAATTTTTATACGACAACTCCATGAATTTATATTTGAGGCTGCAAATCCAATTCTTGTGATTCTCATAACAGAAAATATTACTTTAATAATACTTTAGTATAATAAGATGATCTATAAAAATTAGCCAATCACAATAAAAGTTCACTATGCTGTATAAAAGTAGGATTAATTAGTAAAAATTTAAAGATCATAATATTTTTTATAATTTTATTGATAAAATTATAAAAAATATTATAATCCTTAATATTTTACTAAATAATCATACTTTTATGTTCTAAGTAAACTTGTTCTACGCATGAAAATACATCATATTGGTATATGTTTACTTTATAATTTTAAATATTTAAAAAAAAATATAGTTGATTTTAGATTTTTGATCAAAATTCAAAATTAAGCATATTTTTTTTTAATATTTAAAATTATAAAGTAAATATGTATTAATATGGTATTTTCATGCATACAAGTTTACTTAGAGTATAAAGGTAGAATTAATTAGTAAAATTTTAAGAATCATAGTATTTTTCATAATTTTAATGATATAATTATGAAAAATATTATGATTCTTAAAATTTT